CATTTTCAAAAAAGGATCTCACAACGATTGCGAAAACGACCGCAGATCAGTCTGATCCTCCTCGTCAACAAAGTGCCAGCCTCGGTCATACGGTCGACGTCTGACTAATTTAAGAGGGATCAACATCCGTGTACAGCAGGCCGGATTCCGGTCTGGCTGTGAATGTATTGAGCAAACTTTTACGTTACATCAGGTCCTTGAGCTGCGTCACACCCACTTTCGATCGACGATCGCAGTGTTCCTTGACACGAAAGGAGCCATTGACTCAGTTGACCGCAAAGCTCCGATGGGTTCTACTCTTCGAAAGGGAATGCCTCAGAAGTACGCTAACTTACTGAGGTCACTGTACTCACGTACCTTTGGTCAATCGAAGATCTATGATAAACTAAGTAGGCCGTTCGTCACCAGCAGCGGCGTCCGTCAAGGGTGCCCCCTTTTGCCGTTCCTGTTCGATTGGATCGTAGACGAAATACTGATGAACGCACTAAGTGGTCTCCAAAACATGGATGTTAAATGGGCAGATGGAGAAAAGTTGTGCTATTTGGAGTGCACCGATGACATCGTCTCTGTTTGAATGCACGGAGGGCGCGCAAAACGTACTTGATAGACTAACAAGTGCGGCTGCCACATTCGGTATGTGCTTTGCACCTTCAAAGTGCAAAGTGATGCTGCAGAACTGGGTTTCGCCTATTCCCGGTCTGCAACTAAATGACTAGGAATTAATTATAGTGGGTTCATTTTCATACTTAGGTAGCCGCGTGACCAATGACAGTAGCGCAGCAAAGGAGATAACCGCCCGCATATCCAAAGCTCGACCAGTATACGCAGGACTGAAACACCGTTGGCATAGTTGTGACGTTTCACTAAGGCTGCAATGTTGTGTATATTGTGCTATCGTTCGTTCAATTCTGATTTATGGTTGTGAGACCTTGAATTTGCGAGTAGAAGATACCCATTAACTAGAAGTTTTCGGTCATCGGTGTTTACATAGTTTGGCCCACGTGAGATGGAGCGAACAGGCCAGTAATATGGAGGTGCGTACCTGTTCACTTATCCATCTTAACCCCACAGGGAACTGTCTGCGTGAATGATAACAAAACGGTTCGGACAAAAGGACAATATAGAATTCCGGACAACGATCAACGGTGGTAGCTGTACACATATAAAAATTTTCATAGGCGTTTTTGTGTGTTTTATGCAAAGTTATTTGTGTGTGTGTGTGCATTGTCACTCAGGCAAGTGGTCAGAAAGCGGGAAGGAAAAAAGCAGTTAACTTCCTCATAAAGAACACAGCGGTAAATTCTTCCATACAAGATTTTGCGTGATTGCATGACGAAGAATAATATTAACAATAAAAATAATAATATTAGGAGACTACTAATATTGCAACCTATTATGGGACAACATGAGGTACACAATCACAGTCGAGGGAACACGTGAATTTGCAGGCAGGCAGGCAAGTACGCACGCACACACACACACACACACTCTCAAATACATAATCACACGGGAAAAAAAATAAAATGAAAACAGACTAGGAAAAAGAGGATGGAGGGAACAACAAACTAGAGTTCTCATCCGCATCGTTACAGGTGCGATTCTTCAAGGGTTGAAATATTTTCCGTCGTTTTGCTTTTTCGAGCGGAATGAGGGCAGTACTGGGGCATATGTTGAAACAAAGCACTACGGACGACACAGTGCGATTGCACATCTCATAGCAAACTTTGCTAGCGATTCATCGATTTCCTATATTGTTGATGGATATGAAGTTTGGATGGGTTGAGGAAAAAATCACCTAGAAAACAGTGCCCCGATGGAGGCATAACTGTCACCTGACATTTGAGAATGCCTAAACGTCCATACACAGAAGAAAAAAAAACATAAACAATAAGACTAAGGATTGCAGTCGTGACAGAAGGTCAACATAAGAGTGGAGTAGAAGGGATGGAGCGTAGGGTCATCGAGCAGGAGAACACGGCAAAAGAAAGTCTGATTGGTAAATGTGGTGATGGGTCATGTGATGTACGATATTACGGAAATACCCTGCCGATAGCTCTTGATCAGGTCTTTACAAATGCATAGAGAGAAATTGAAGCAAGAAAGCTGAAAAGACAAATTAGCTTTGTACACATGCACATATACACACACCCATTATTGTACGGTCGACATCCCAGTCGTGAGTGACAGGACCTGTTCAAAGGTAGCTGAAGTATTGCACAGACGGGAACACGTTGTGATCTATTAACTGATCTGGTAGATAGTTGGCGGAGATTCTCATCTATAACCGGATCGAACGTGCTTGCACAGTTCTCGGATAAGTGAGCCAATTTTTTCGTCCTGTATTACGGGTTCATACACAAGAGGGCTGCGAGAGGTAACGGAACTTTGTCTTGCAGGGAACGGATGTAGAAACAGCAGTCAGAAAAAGTTGATTGTGTGTGCGTGTATGCTAGCAAGTTGGAACAAGCGGTTGTATGGCGTGGAGTAAAACAAAACCAAAGCGGGATTTTTTCAAGCAGATGCAGGCCGGGGGTGGGCGGTGGATTTGTTTCCTAAAACTGGTGTTTGAAGAATGGACTAGATGATATTTTTGTATGGGCTTATATTACAAGTATGGATGTAATAACACACAATATGACTCCGGTTTTCATAATACCACTAGCTTTGACGCGAAGATGTAACAGGTCTGGCTCTCTCTGTTGAAAGAAACAGAAATGAGACGGGTTAGGAGATAAAGGAAGACTGAAGAATGGAGAGAACAGGGGATCTGCAGAATAGATGTTACTGTGAAAAGTGCAACAACAACAACAACAACAACTGGATTTTTGGCCGATGGTAGTCAATCACCAGAATTATGCTGAGCGAGGATATGGAATGCGCCACTGTTCTCGATGAAACCTGGCGTATGGGAGTATTTGAATACGGTTTCATTCGGTTCACGGACGGCGTGAATTGGACTTCGTTTTGTCTGGGGTGTTAGTCAGTGTGCCGCCTGTGGGCTGTTGGGCACGTTGTTGCCGTACCGTTTCCAGATCGGTCAAAGCCTCTGTATAGGTGGTGTTTTGTAAGCGTGGGTTGGATATGTCCCGAGGTGAGAGGCCAAATCGTTGCGACTGAGATCGATTCACGGTGGGTTGAATCACCAGGCGACCACCAGCACTACCGCTTGTTAGTGGATTTACACTGGGGACTAGTCGCACGGGCGGTCTGAGAGTAGCCGTTCGTCTTATTGTGGAAGCTGATGTTGGTTGCTGTTGTTGTTGATGTTCTGCTGCGTGCATTTTCGAATGCTTTTCTCCCCGCTTCAATGTACTCATTGCTTCATTTAACGAGCACATATCGCCCTGGTATGTCATTGTTTCCAGTTTGGGTTGAGAAATCTGAACAACACTAACTGATTTTGGCTCCAAACCATCCGATGAAGAAAGCACGGAAGTTTTGTTCACTATCGGAGCGTGTTTGATTGTGACAGTGTCTGGTGCGTCCGCTAGGGGCGCGGATCCGACTTGCACCCGATTTTGACGTGCTATGACATTCTCCCACATTTTCGCCATACGGTTTGTTCCCAACGGATTTCCGGGTTCTATGAATAAGAATGGAATGAATGATATTACCAATGTATACTTGTCGGGAAATTCGCTTTGATATATGTCCACACGACAAACCTGTAGAGGATTGGAAAAGGTATATACCTGTTTACTGTTTCCAATAAGCGATCAGGACGAGACTGCACCTTGATGTGGTGTGATGGATTGTAGGCCTCCGTGATCCTGTGAGCTATACAGAATGGCTACTCTCTGTCACAGATGCAATCATGCCTCAACAGTCAATACGTGGAGATCGAAGAAGCCCGATCTTACCAGGCAAACTGAATGGGCACTTCCTGGCTTCCGTTGGCTACCCAGTCTTATCCGCATCGAGTGAACATGCGGTGTAGTTTACCAGTCGATGGAAAGAGTCTTTGCACTTCGTTGGACAGCTGCCGAAAACCCAAGCTGAACAACTCCCAACCAATAAGGTGTTGTCTCGTCCACAGTCCACCTGTCTCATTAGGTTTATGAGACTAAGAGTTAAACCTGGATGGTGGTCGGACAATCAACGCANCGAAAGACCTTGTGTGACAGGTCTCTACAGGCTCCCACACGATTGCTCCAGTCAGGCTCGCTCGTTGGATTTACAACCCACTGATTGCCTCGTGAGTCAGATTATGGAGTCGAAGGCTACGGTCAAGGTTTCCAAATAAAAACGACTTCGTCGGTGCGGGTTACTGCAAAGTATGTCTTGCTCAAAAGTCTCAACCCCTCAGTTGGAAAGTCCTCTTTCTTATCTGATTTGTTAGTCTTCTCACTCTCAAACCATTAGAGATATCTTTTTTAAGCCACCCGTGGGATATCACTCGGCGTTTAAGGCCAACCAATCAGAGACTAAAGGAATGATAAAACCAAAGTCTCTTTTTCGCTTAGCCGCATTTAATCTGCACGATCGACCAAAGCTGTCTCAGCTAAAACCCTAGAAATTTTCATTTTGGACGTATGATGTTTCCGAAAAACGCATACAAGATTGTACTTCAATTACCTCTCTGTGTTGTCCAGATCAAACCTCATCCTCATCCACCAGTATCTGAGTGTCAGGCGATTCGGTATCTAGAGCTGGTGGAATTGCAGCGGAGGGAACACAATCTACCCAAAATGGGAATTCGAATAACGCTACCGTACATACGCAGCACGTCAGAAGCCACCGAACGCGTACTCCGGCCTCTGGGAATCAAGATAGCCCATAAACCAGTAGCAGCCATGAAATCGTTTCTCGTCAAAGGTAAGGATCGAGTCGAACAGCACAAACGATCAAGT